AGCCTCATCCCACAGATTTCCGATGAGATGCCATGGCTTACAAGTTCTGAGACCACACAGAGGTGTTATACGTTGTTTTGATGAGATTTGTTCTCACTGGAGAGGCAGGGGTGGCCCTGAGATAAAAGCAAGCACTTCCCAAGACTCTGATTCTATGTGACATTATTCGTTTAGGAAAGCCTTTCCTCCTTTTCTTTTCTTTTTTTTTTTTTTTTTAATTTTATTTCCAGCTTATGAAGAAGATAACAAAGGATGGTATGTCCCCAGAGCACACTCTGATGTGTCACTATGGATGCCAATCCCCACAGACACTCCCGATGTTATTAATTTTTAAAACAAACTTGCTGATTGAGGTTCTGACTGGCTTTAAATTGTCTCTACAAGGAGACTGTGTACTAATTAACCCATAGAAACAATCAATGATTTACCTTTTTCAAGTTTCAGGTTGATTAGAATATGAAAATGAAGAGTACAATGGTGCAGATGTTTTAAAATCACAGCAGACAGCAATTAGTGACATGGGAACCAGCTGCTTATCTCTCCAGATAAAGCCTCTTAATAGGGAATTACACTTGAGGAGCCATTACACAGATGGATCTGCGAATGATTTAAAGAGGGGGCGTTGTAGTATTAACTTTGATTTGCAAGCCAGATTCTTGACAAGCTGTATGTGTGTTACCTCTACAAAAAGGTGCGTCTGGAGAAGGGGGGAGTACCATCTCCCACAAGCAATCAGATTTTTTTTGGGTGATGGGTTTCTCTAATTGCATATTTTATCATTATTATTTTTAGTTATATTCATTTTTATTTGGATTTTATTTTTCTTCTCTAAGCTTTTGATTTTGTTGCTGGCATCTCCTCCCACTGTTTGCTTTGGGACTGGAAGCAGCGTGTGGATCTAGAGAGAAGCTCAGGCGGGGGAATGGGGAGGCAGTGTGAGTAGTTAAATGAAAAGAGTCCCCAGGGGATGGATTCTGCTGCTGGGTACTGCTTGCAGAGTAGGGTGCCACTCAGCATGGGACTGATACAGTCTCATTCTCTCAGTTGCAAGGGCTGCATGCCAGAATAAAACTGTAAAGAGGAGTAATCATATCTGCAGGTGCAGGGTTGCACAGGTCTGGTGAGGCAGGTGTAAACACGCAGTCCCACCTCCTCTGCGCTCTGGCCAGAGCTCTTCAGTTGCCAGTATATGGTATGTATCCTGCTCATAGGTCTACCCACCACTGCCAAAGCTGAGGGCTGAACCTCATGAGTTTGGCATTATAATTGTACACCACTAATAAGAGGATTCAAACTTTATTTTTTCTAGTCTAACATTTAGCATGTGCTGGATCTGTTGCTCAAACTTCTTTACAGTCACAAAAACAGTTAGCTTCTTTATGTGTATTTTACTTTCCTTAAAGGAAAGATAGGATTACCCACTAACCACATCCAGTAAACTGAATATCAAGAGAAATATTGACCAAGTCTGGTGAGATGTGATAAAATTGCATGGGTTAAGGAGTGCTTCTGCTTTCACAAAAGAAGAAGGAGCTGAGTCCTAGCAGAATAGCTAGCTTCTGAGGAAAATCCCATTTAATGAAAGGGCAAACTACAAATAGAGGCGGGCTCTGAAGTTTGAAGTATTTTTAAGATCTTATAAACCAAAAAGTAAACAAAGGTAAATCTTCCTGTTTTCATGAAAAAGCCTACTATTCTTGATGCCAATCTCGTCCATGCTGCCATAGGAACTCTGTTTAAGACAACAGCCCATTGCCAAGACCTATGGAGCTGCAGTATATTGAATGCTTACTGTTTAATAAAGTCATGAATTTCTGCAAAAGGCATCAAGATACAGGTTTTTGAAGAGCTCTGTTTGCCCTCACCCTATTGAAAGCTGTGGCATACTCCACCAGCTCAGCAGAAGGTTAGGTTAGCTGAGCTGGGGCTTGTCGGCTTCTTAGGGTGATGCTCACCCAGCAAGGAAAATTGAAGCCTAAACATTAGGACCAATAGGATCAGACAGCAACTCAGATTGATACACAGGAAATAAAATACACTTGGCTGCATAACTTTCAACTGATTTACCAGTGCTTTTAAGTAAACAGTCCCCACGTATCCATTGCAGCCAGTGAAACCCAACCTGATGCAGCCAAATAATCTCCGGTTGCCAAGCCGCAGAAGAATTATTTTGGACTTGTCTGGCAAGGGAGAGCAAATAGTAAATGCTATGCTGGAAGAAGCTGCATTAGGAAACCCAGTGGACTGTTATGTGCTTGGGCAGATATATAGTTTTGACATCCAGCTTAGGAAATGGAGTCCCCTGATCCTGCAGACTGGTCATTTTTTGAAGGCCTATGGAAATCAGAGCGCTTATCCGCGTGATTAAATGCCTCTGGAGTTGGCACCTTTGATGACATAGGCATCTCTTTCTCATGAATTGTAAGATAGATGTTGTGGTGGCCTGCGGTGCTAGAGTAATGACAAGGCTATCATTAGGGATGTGTTGGGAGTTGCATCATTATTTTATAATGTGCAGGCTGAGGAAATGAGGCTGGAGGAGCCAAGTGATATATCAGCATTCATCGCGGATATATAGCTGGCCTCTCAGTTCTGAGCCCTTATTAACTACCTTAAAATATAGATTATTGCTCCTTTTAAACTAGAGATCTCTGTGTGTGCAGTGGACTTGAAGGGACCAGGGTGTTGCCAGTGTGTGATATTTTCACTCACTGCTGCAACCCTCTTTCCTTTTTTTTTTTTCTTTAACTTTTTTTTCTTTGAGATGAAATTTTTCAGGTCATTTAGTTTCACAGCTCAGCATTTTGGAAATAAAGTAGGTGTCAGGAATTGCTTTGATTGCATCCATGAAACCAGGATCTGTGCCGAAACAGCTTGACCCTGCCTCAGTGTCAGTCCTGGGGGCCAGGAGAGGCCTCAGCCCATCATTTCCAGGGCTTTTCCAAGTCACAAACCATGGCACCTCGGGAAGATTATGTTTCTTGGGAGTGGAGGGCAGCCACCTCCAGCCCACTGGGACTTCACCAGGAGATGGCAACATCCCGCACACCTCCTCATGCCCAGCTAACAGCACACCCGGCCTGTTGGCCTGGCGGGCAGGAGAAGCCCCAAACAGCTGAGGTAAAATGAAGCTCAGGAGCTTTGACATAACTTTAAAAAAGGTTTAAATAAAATCAAACTATCCAACTTTAGGGCCCGTGCCACTGATTTCCTTTCAACCCCTCCCTGGCCTCATCCCAAGGACATGGACGCGGGTGGGCTTCTTTTTCCAAAGGAGGGCACCGGTGGCGTGGGTCGTGGCTGCTGCAATACTGTGTGGCTCGCACGTGGGAGGCCGATAAGAGGAGGAGGAGGAGGAGGATCTGATTCAATCCCCGAGGGCTGTTTATGCTTTCGGCTCTTTTCTCAGGCTGAAGAAACCGGGTGTCGCTCGCCCGCGACATCTGCAGCTCCACCGCAGCTGCGTGCTTTCATTTTCTCACTCCACAATTCCTGGAAATCTCTGCTTTCCCTGAGCATGGCTGGTCCATGTGCATGACAGCTGAACTATCCACAGGATTTAGGAGTCCCTGATTACTCCTCAGACGATGGACCAGAACAGCTTCACTGTTCCAGAAAAGCCACATGCCCATTTTCACATGCACAAGAAGGATATCTCAACCTCAATTTGCCAATAACATGTATGTTTACTGGTGACTAAATAATGCTCCATGGGCTTGGGGGTGTTTAGCACCTTTCAAATCCCTCTGAAGTTGCTCAGAACTGGGGCACCTCGTTTTCCAGCTCAAAACCATCTTATACTGATGGCCTCCTTGCCCCCAAACCTCTTTTGTAAACACCCTGAATGGGTATCTAATGTAATGCTGCTGATAGAAACTTAATTGTAACAGGGTGTTTGCAGAAACATGAGACACTTCCCAGTTGTTTTCTATTGTTCTTTCCTTGGTTACACATTTATTTTAAGTCTCTCATTTATTTGGCATTCAGAACAGTGTCATTACAGTTTGCTAAGAACAGTTGTTTGCAGTACTAGGTGTACAAAATCAGTTGCACAGTTTGATCCAGACCTTTGCAAAAAAAGCTCTTAAATGTAGCAGAAGAAAAAAAAATGGGTAGAAGAGTTCACTTAAAAAAAAAATAAATTATTTTTTGGTTTTAGGAGATATTTCACAAGGTTACAGCTGTAACAAACAATTTCTTCAGCTGAAGAAGGCCCACCAAGAAAAAAAGTAGACTTTCTTTTGCTCTGTAACAGTCTTCAGCATAATTTTGCCCTTACTGTAACCTCTGCAGCTTGAAGAGCTGCTGTCGGATTAGAAATCATATTGAAAATATCTCTTACCAACATTGCAAATGGCAGATTATTAAAATGGAAAGGGAGTAATGCAAATCTTGAACCCGCCAAGTGTGCCTCAAATACTTGATGCTAAGCATATGATTTTAAGCACTAAGTTGGTGGGGATGACTTCTGTGTGGAAATTTAAGCAAGCAAATCTTTGCAGATTCTGGCTTCATAGGGAAGTGGACCCATGGGTTTTCCTCCTGTTTGTTATAACTTCCGAGGTAATTTTGCATTTTTCTTGTTTACAACAGTAAGCTTAATTGCCGTTGTTGAGCATCAAGTTCTGTGAGGGATTATTTTTTAGGAAAAAGGGATTCTCACCAGGAGGGTGAGTTGCACCATCCATCCATTGAAAGGGAATATTTTACTTGTGTTTTAAATTAAAAATCAATAGAATATGTTTCCTTAGCAATTTAGCCTTTATAGAAATATTTCCATTGTTTTTAGAATGGGAAAACAAAACAAAACTTTACAGTGCGTGAATCTAAATGTAAATTTGGCTCAAGTATAAGAATACTTTATAAAGACTTCTAACCCTTACAAGGACATTGGTTAAGAAGAGTTGTCATTCACTGTACAAATAAAGAGCTGCAGCCAGTGGTTATGAATGGACTCATAAACTAATTTTTTTTCCTATTTATTTTCTTCTACCTTCCAGGTTTATGACAGGCCTCAAAAACATTCTGCTCTGCACTATGATCCAGGCCTCCAACAAGACTTCACCGGTGACACCTTAAAATCAAAGCACCAGCAGAAAAGTAGCAACCAGAACCATCTTGACTGGTCAGCAGGCTCCAATACTGGATCCACTTCTCAAAGTTGCTTCATCAACACAGAACCCAGTCGAGAAGCAGTTAGTGCCACCAAGGTCCCTGCTCCGGAGCCAGGAGTTTCCTTCAGCAAATCCCAAGCAAAGAAGTCCTGCACCAGCAGCACGTGGGGGCAGCTGTCAACCAGTAGTAAAGAGCTTGCCACTTGCAGTGCAGTCCCATCACCCAACAACATCAGCACGACTGCCCAGCCAAGCAGCGCCTCCGAGTGCAATGGACTTTTGCCTCTCAGTGATCAAGAGGGAGCTGTGCAGCTGGAGGCCTCCGATCAGCCCGCTGGGAGTACAAAGAAGAAGTCCAGCAAAAAAGATTTGATAAGTCAAACCATCCAAACCGCAGACATCGAATGGGTGAAGAGTGCTCAGAAAGCATTTGACAGCAAATCCCATGACAGCATGGAAGG